CTCCCATCTGTGTTGGCTGCAGGTCCTAGGAACTTAGTTATGACTCTGGGTCTGTGGATAGCCACTTGATTAGCATACCTTAAAATGTCATCCAGCAGGTGAGAGACATGAGTTATGCCCTAACTGAGCATTTCTCTGAAGACGTCTTGCTGGTTAAATCAGGTGGCAGGGTGGGTGAAGCAGTTACAGATTTCCAAAGGAGCTTTAAGTCAGGTGGTGTCAGATTCCTCTAGTTCCCTGCTTAGCAGCTGCCTCTGCACAACTTAAAAACAGTGAGCTGCTGCCAGTTTTGCCAGTCAATGTCTTCTGCTCCAACACAGAGCAAAGCCTTGGGGAGCAGCCATGTAAGAGACTTCATACTACTTGGTACCTAGACCTGAAAGGGGAGAGATGAATTTGCTTTATTTTCATGCTTCTTGCTCCATCTTGCTATAAATAGACCATGTAGAAAGTATGGAAGGGGACTGGGGCTCTGTACCTCTTCTACAACTAGGTGAGAAGGGGAAAACGGATGCCCCTGCCTGGCAATGGCTACAAAAAGGCTGTGGTCCCTGGCATGGTCCCTTCTCATCAGCAAGGTGCTGCAGGAGGAACATGGCCAGGCCCACTTGAAGAGGTGAATCTGTAGCAGGTAGAGGTCTAGAAGGGAGTTTCTGATGGTAGCTTGAGGATGGAACCCAGGCAGAGCATCTGCAGCGCTGCCAGAAACCAGCTGTGGCTGGTTGTCTTCGCTCTGTTGTGAATGGGGGGAAAGGGAAGAGGATGCTGAAACATTTGTACAGAACTGCGTCGCTAAGGACAGAAGTGCTGGCATCACAGCTGCAGGTGGCAGTTGAGCATATAATTTGGGATCAAAAGCCTGAGGCATCACTTCAGGTTCTGCTACTGATCTACTGAGGAAAAACTCCATCGCCACAGGCCTCAGTTTCTTTATCTGTTAAATGGTGAGAAAGGCCTTGGACTGACATCATCTCCCACGGGAGACTGCAGTGAATTACCTGCATTTGTAGAACATCGCGCAGGGTGGGGAGTCGTGCTCCCCAGAGGGCTTGTGCTCCAAGCAGACACAGGCCAGGACTAAGGCTGACCCCCTTTCTCTGCCGGAGATGGACCCAAACCCTTGCGTTCATAGAGCCCTCGCTTTTGAGGGTGAAGAAAGCTTATCATTCACGTAACTCCCTACAGCGCCTTATTTACACCTAACCAATATCTTGCAAACTGGAGCTGGTGACAAGGGAGAGGCTCTGTCCTAGGCTGGCCTCTTTTTTCTGGTCAAGGGTTTTTACTGGGGGTTGGGGGTGGGCAGGGGAGAATGGGACACTTTGATTTATACCTCATTTTAGCTGCTGTACCTGAGTTTATTCTTTCTCCTCTGGTAAGAAAGTGACTGTACTTAACACCAAGCAAATAGTGAAAATTAAAGCCGTTTCACTTCACTGTCACAATATCTTTCTTTTATTTTTTTTTTTTAAGAAACGCACACAAAAAACCGTGCAGAGAGTGCTTCAGGCTCGTGTTCTGGTTTATATTACAAAAAAAAAAAAAAATTCCTTTCAATATAAAAAAGCATTACAGTAGGGAATACAGGATAAATTAGCTCCACTACCTAATAAAAAGGAACATTTACAATTTTTTAAAATAGATTGCAAACATTATTTCACACGCAGCCCTTTTCCCAGGCATTCGTGACAGTCATTTGAGCATTAAATAACAGCGGGGAGGCAGGGGTGCCGAGAGGGGCTGTGGGCTCAGCAGGCACAGGCTGCTCGCTACTACTTCCATCCAAGGTGCTTGGGCCGCAGTCACAGTGCTACAGCGAAGGAGGCGGCAGCACGGCAGCTCCCTCTGGTCCCCAGCCTGCCCAGAGCTCTCCAGCAAGCAGTGAATCTGGCTTGAGCCCCTGACCCCAAAATATTCACCAGAGCTGTTAAAAACACATATAAAAAAATACAGTTGCTTCTCCTGCCTACTGTTCTGAAAACTAGTGTACAACGGAGGGGGCAGCCACATAACCAGGGGGACAAAACCAACAAATTTACATGCTTTGCCATACACCAGGAGTCTGCTTTCTGGGCTTGCTTGCTCATTAAATTCCCCCAGGGGAAATTCCTTTTGCCTGTTACCAACTTCCACAGGTCCTCTCAGACTTCCATATATCTTTACAGCTATCTCTAGTTTTTGTTTAAAATGTGCTGCCTGGACGTTGCTGGGGTTTCAAGCTGAGTTCCCAGTGGCGTGCTAGCCAGCTGCAGAGAGGATTTGAAGTCTTCATGCAGAAAAGAGCAATGCGGGATCAGACAGGGTGAGAGAGCAGAAACAACTGTGCAAAGGCCAGAATAACAGGCGAATGAGAGATCTTTTTGAAGATACAGTGACAACCATTAGGGAAGAGGGAAAGTGAGAAAGCTAAAAACAAAGTGATGAGTACAGAATTAGGAAAGCCAAAAAGAAATAAGCCTGCACAGATCCTACTTCAGGTGTGTATATTTATCACTTAGTGCTCTGGCTGCTTTGGTCCCGTTCCCCCAGTGCTGACAGTTTTTCCCCCATGCCACTGGTGGCAGAAAAAGGCTTTAAGGCTTTTTTTTTTTTTTTTTTTTTTTCCCCTTCAGCCACCCACCATGCACAAATCAGGGTATTTGCCTTTCAGGTTCCAACCTGAGACAGCCAGGCCTTTGCATAATAAACTGAGGGGAAAGGAAAAATTGGAGACTGGGGGAGGCAGTTCTGCTTCTCTTGCTCACCTCCAGCCAACTCACCATCTATGCTGATGGTTTTGTTCCTCCCCTGGGAATTGCTCTCCCAGAACAGTCACTGACACCAGCTCCTGAGGCAGAAGCAGAACAGATAAGCTCGCCTTCTGCTCGGGCCATTCCTTGCAAGACTAGTAGATGCAACAGATTTTTCCTATCTTATGCGCAGCACCTGCTGTCGGGTATAAATACTGCTGATTTTTGGCTGGCAAAACTGTTTTCCTTCATTAAACAACAGACCAGAATTTAATGCTAAAATGCCTCATTAAAAGCAGATCCAGATGAAATATTTCAGAAAAGCTTTCCACAAGGTTTAATGCAACATGTGAGGCTGCTCAGCAGCCCTGGCCTCCTGTTCCGTTGCTGGAATATGCTGACTGCAGTAGGGCTGCAGCTCTACCTGCCTGGGCCCTCTCCTGCTGATGAGCAAATTGTTGTTCTCAAATGAAGCTTGGAAAAGCTCTAATGCCTCCTTCCTGTTCCTTAGTATCCTGATTCCCCACCCTGGACATTAAGCCAGGATCGTTGTACATTACAGACCAGTCTTTCTGCTGCTTTCCTTCCTTCCCTGTAGCCTGTGCAGCGCCACTGGGAGAGCTGAAGGGACGCAGCCCCAGGGCTTGGAAGGGAACAGCCAAGCGAAGTGTACCTGCTGCTGCCAAACCTGGGCACAAGGTTACTGCTCGGCTCCTCGCTGCTGCCTTCTGCCCCCTCTCCTTCCTTGCCAGTGGTTACAGCTTTCAGAGGTGCTGGTTTAAGCCTCTATAAAAGTGCTCCATAATCTGAGCCTATAAAATCTGTAAAAAGAGCTAAGCTAAACAATAAACCACAGCCCCTTCTGTCCTCCCCCAAGTACAATGAGTTTGGGGTCAGGGAATGACCACATGAATGACTAAGGCAACAGGGGTTGAGGCTTCCAGAGAAGAGAAACCAATGACCTCTCCAGGTTGATAACCATGAGAAGCACTGGAGCTGTTTGGCTGCACGCTGGGTGCTCTTAGAGCCTGCCTGGGGCCTCAGCAGTTCCACCTTAATCTCTGACCAAGGTCCAGTCCCAGGCATCTTTCTCAAGTTTAATTCCAAATGGCTAAGTAGATGATACGTTAGTTAAATGTCAAACTATCTCAAGGGAGGAAACACTTTCAACTAGTAGGCTGACTAAAACAATTCTGACTTGATGTTTTTGTCATGAGCCCATGGGAGGATCTCAGGGGAAATCCTCTGAGCAGAAATGACGCCACAAGAGTGTTTCAGGCAAACAGCATGGGAGCAGCTGACAAACCTCAGCCTCCTCCATCTAGCACCATGCCTGGAACTCCCCTTAGGCCTGGGAAGCATGTAGGAATCCACTGCAACTATTTATACTAACAGAGCACCACAAAATGTTTTTTGCAAAGTATGAAGGGAAAGGCAAAGGCTGACAAGATTTAAACACTATTTCCTCCCCTTCTCAAGAAGGCAGCAGTATCAATGATTCTTGACCAGAGCCATTATTTTTCCCAGGAGATGGGAACACAGCAGGGGACCATTTGCACTCTTTCATAACAAGAAACAGTAAATCTTAATAGAGAAAGGCAGGCACCAAACTCTCGACCATCAGCCATCCTTAGCTGAGTCCCATTGCTAAATGAGACCATGCTGCCCCTGCTTGGGGCTCCAGAGAAAAGCCAGCCTCATGGAAGTGCCTGACTGACAAGTTTCAGGTGACAGAGGCAAAGCTTCCACTGAAGAATGTGTGTTTTCATTCTGTGGCTGGACACTAAAGCCAGAATCGTGTGAACAACAACTACCTACTTCTGAGATGAGCCACCACTGCTTGTTTCAAACCCACCTGGACAGTGACAGACTTTGGCCAACCTGTTGCCTTATCCAGCCCCTGCATGGCTGTTCTTCAGTCCTTTGCTGTCTAAAATACGATAAAGTTGTGAACGGTAGGCACGGCCTTGCAGGAGAGGCAGCTGTGCTCATCCTCCCGCTCCCCCCCGCCGGCTCCGTCAGTCTCTAGTGCAATCAGCTGTGCTGGGCTCCTGCTCCACGGCTGCTGCAGGTGGCTCTGGGCAAGGGTCCGGTGTACAGTGTAGTGCACATCACCTCAAAGTTCCAGCCCCTGAAGTACAATCCTTTTGGTCATTCATATATTACAACCCTCTTTTTTTTTCTTTTTTTTCCCCTACCCCATTTTGTTAAAAAAAATAAAGTTTTTTGGGTGTTTTCAGGTTTTGTTTCTTCTGACTTTCCTTCTTTCTTCTGAGTACGTGGGGAACGTGGTGGTTCACGGGCCACCTCCTACTGGATCCCTCGAAAGAGACACATGGCAAAAATCATGGCAAACAGCTGGGAAGGTGGGGGAAGAAGAGGGCAAAGACAAAACAGAGAACCGCAAGAGTCAGCTGCATCTTCCAGAAGATTGGCAAAACCCTCCCTGGCCCCAGGACCGCTCCCATAACTCCCTCCTGCCCAGCCGTCAGTGGCGCAGCAAGGGGAACCCTTGCCACCACCCAGGGGAGGCTGTGGCAAAACTTTTTTTCCCCTGAAGGCGATTCCTCCCCTCCCTTCCCCTGTCACCCGAAGTGTTTGTGGCTATAGCAGCAGCCTGGCTTCATTCCCAAACTGCCCTTGGTGTCGCAGGGGAGCAGGCTCCGTGGTCCCTGCTCTGCACACCATTCCCACTGCCCAGAGCAGGCCCAGCGGGGCCTTCATGGGGGCTGCTGGGGCTCTGCCAAGCTCCTTCTCCTTTGCACAAGACAGGGCACTGGGGAAAGCACCCGGCCTTGCCCCGGCAATGCTGCAGGGACATCACTTCTGGGCTAATGTTGTGCCTGGTGGAAGCCTGTTCCTCAGAAACATCACCAAAGAGCCAGACGCTAACGCTGGATAACGGAGATGCTCTGGAGCCAAGACAGTTTCGGGCTCTAAACAGAAGTTTTTAAAGCAAAGGCACAGTTTGAACACATTAACCAAGTGACAGATTACTCATCTTGCTGGGGTGCTGCCCCAGTGAGGGCAGTGTCTGTGGTGGGGCCCTGGGGCAGGCGGTGGCTCCCCAGAACCCCTGTGGCCAGCGTAGCAGGGCGCGGGCTCTGCGGCGGGCCCAACACGAGGCGGCACTGCAGGCTTGCGGCACTGCAGGCTTGCGGCACTAAAAGCGTGCGCCACCGGTTATCTCCCTGCCTTCTGTGGCGAAGGACCAAGCACCCGGCTCTTCCTAGGCAATTAAAACCACAAGCTGATAACCTGCTCACACTTTGCAGGAGCAGCTTCCCCTGGCAAGGGCAAGCACCTGCCCATTTGCCTCGCTGGACATCTACCAACACTTGCTTTTCTTCTAGTCGCACAATACTAAGTACCTCAATGGCCAACACTCCGATGGCAAGGGCTCCTGCAAGGTACACGTAGGTCTCAAAGGAGTTCAGGATCACAGTGTAGCAGCCCTAGGAAGGACAAAACGTGGTGAGACACACCTGAGCAGCACATTGCACTGTTCTCACAGCGCAGCCCTCATTAGTACAAGAGGTGCTCTCAGAGGTGCACCACAAGCACAGCTCCCTCTCAGCCCTCACCCAGCCCCACAGTACAGGAGGCAGAGACCCATAGGACAGTGCCCGGGAGGGGAAAGTTTCGCTGTAGTGGCATGGGAGTGGTTCACACCCACAACCCCTCACTGGCCACGAGGAACTATGTCTTCTTTCAGAGCAGAGAGGATCAGCACAGGAGAGGCACTGCCTCTGCAAAGGGCAGACACTAAGCAGAGGAAAGGACGCTCAGGGCAGATGACAGACAGCCCAGGCTGGCTACGGATAAGGATGATTTATTTAAAGCCAAGGCAGGAGATTCTTGAATCCTCTCTCATAGCCAGCAGCTCTTTCACACCCCAGGACCTTTTCTCTGTGCCTTCACCCAAAGGGGCATGGGTGAACACCTGCTGATCTTCTGGCTGTAGGAGAATTAACTTCATTAATTAATGACCATGCACTACAGCAATCCTTCCACTTATGCAGCACAGCCGCCATCACCTTTAATGTCATTTATTATTGCGCATACAATTAACAGCAGGTAGATCTTCTGCAAAGGTTTCAGGATGTTTCTTGAAATCACCAGCTTATCCTGGCCTCACAGTTCTCCCAGACTAAAATTCCAACCAATCAGCAAATTTCTGCTAGTAGGTCACACGGAAAGGGAAAAGTAGATTGGAGTTTGTCCAATGTAAAAAGTAGCTCTCCTCCCCACTGAATATATACATCACACATACATGTTTAATCCCATCCAGACTGCTGGGATGTTTCAATCACCTGATTTTTTTCCTTCCACCCAAAAAGAGAATGTCTGAACTGCAAAGACAGCACAACAGTTACATACTGGTGTCCATGCCAGACCCTGCTCACTGCGAGTGAGACAACCAGAGGAGACCAAGGGAGAGCACAGAGGGGACCCACTCACGAGGCAGACCCAGGGAGCGCAGACTGTTAAAACCACACTCTTGTCGACATGAAACCACTCAGCTGCAGCTCTGTTCCAGCCATGTTTCAGCCCAATTTTCAGGGCAAAGCATCCAGCCCAGCAACCAAATGTTTGGGTGCTTGCCAGAACTCCATCCTTAACCCAACTTCCAGCATGCCCTGCTCAGCTGGTTATAAACAGGGCTGAGCACAAGTGTGGCCAGCACTGTCCTACCAGCATGGTGTCCCAAGAGCCTGACTTTGCTCCACAAATGCCTGAATTCAGCCATCAGTTGCTTGGGAGTGTCTCTCCCATTTTACAGAAGGGCCTTGCTGTGTGCTTGGTGACACTGGTTGTGCACACTGCTTCTTCCACCAACTCTCTGCGGTGACAAGAGCTCACAGGAAACCTTCCCTTACCATAGAAGTGGTAGGCCTCAGCATCACCACTTAGGGAAAGCTAGATCTGTTATCTGCTTTAACCCTCTTTCTCAAAATGCATTTCTCTTCCCCTCTGTGCTGTTTGTCATCTCTCCTCTCTCTCTTTCCCATCTATTCATGGCAATCAGACCTGGCAGAAGCAGTACGCTGCTGAATGCTATGATCTCTCTCCCGGAGTGCCTTTGCCAACCATTTCCAGCTGCCAGGCAAGGAACAACTCACAGGCTGTTTCCAAGCTCCTTTACTCTCTTTCACAGTCTGCTATCAAGTGCTGAAGAGGACCACTGGTTAGTCTGGAGAGAAAAGGTGGCTTGTACATACGGTCAGTACAGAGCTCAGCTGGCTTATTCATGCTCAGGTAATCACAAGTCAGGAACTTTGCTAGAAAGTTTCTTAAACTTCACATCTTGGTGACAATGTAAGGGAACATGACTGTAGTATCAGTGTAAATGACATTATGCTGAACTGTCTTGTTCCAGTCTAGTATTGGGAAAAATTGCCAAGTCAAGAGGCCTGGCAAAAGAAATGCCCTCTTTCTACTGTAAAGAGTAAAAGAGTAGAGAAATGCAGCTTTCCAACACTTCTTTTCCTTGGAAAACAGACATGGTTTCCTGTGGCTGTTTAACCCTCCATGTCTTGGTTGCACACATTGTTGATGAGGAGTCTTTGTGAACTCAGCTGGAGCCACTACTGCAGGCCATGACTTCAAAAGCTGTCAGCAGAAGCGTAATTAGGATGTGAGCTACAGTCAGAATGGCATGACCTGCCAGCTTCACTAGCTACCCATGACCACCCCAGACACCTCTCTGCCCACTGTGAAACTCCTTTTCCTGATGTGTGGCTTTCCTTACCTGTCTGTTCTGAAACCTCTCGACGCCTGTGAGGCAGGCCTCCTTGTTGACAAACCTCCCTTCCCGGCTCTGGAGCTCTCGCTGGCAACAAGCCTCCGGTATCACCTTTTCCAGAGAGGAGTATGGAAGATGAGTGATAGCTTCGAAATCTTCTGGTCCATTCACTCCACAGCAGGCAAACTAGAGAGAGCCACAGAGAAGAAAGGAAGACAGAGTTGACACTTTGCCCTGAAAGCAGATTTGAGAAATCGACCAAAGACCTATTCTTGTAGGGATCGAAGCTTTAGTCAAAGCAGAGACAAAGCAACTGCTGTTTCTAAAGAAGTGGTTTGTGCTTTTACCTTGGAGCTTCTGTTTCATCAAAGCCTTTTTATAAAGTCCCACTGTTCCCATCTCATACTGTAGACTCCAAGGTACCACTGGGAATATTGCCATGAACTGCACAGGGCTTTGGAGCACATCCAGAATGACTTGCTTGAGATCACCCAGCAAGTCTGTAAGGAAGCCAGCAGTACAATCCAGGCATCCAACTGCCCGTTCTCGCCACAGGTAATGGACAGGATTGTTGTTCCTCAAAGGCACTGCTAGGTGATTCAAGTAAGGTCCCTTTTTAGGATTCAAGTCAGGTCCTTTTTAAGGATTCAAGTCAGGTCCTTTTTAAGGATTCAAGTCAGGTCCTTTTTAAGGATTCAAGTCATACTCTGACTGTCTCCTTCCAGCCAACAAAAGGAAATGTCTTTAATAAAGTCCTGAATCAGCATGAAGGCAGCAATCACCTCTTTCTTTTAAGATCAAAATTTACTTTTCATCTGCAGAGCCCAACATCCTACTCCTCACTCCTGAAGAGATACACCGTGGGCTGTACTGAGCATCAAGTTCACATGTGTGTACACACACACGTGCACACAGAACTTCTTGTGGTAATCAGAACAACTCCAATTCCAATGACACAGTCGATCTGTAACCTGCCTGATTAGGACTGTAATAACAAAGCCAATTTTGATGGCTAATATTTCTATACTGAAAATATACCATTAGGCATACTGCCTAATCTGCCACTTACCAACTCATTTCACAAGAGCAAACAAAAAGCCATTAGTTAGCACCAGTTTTGGCTGCTGTTGGCTGGGAACAGTTTTGAAGCAGTCTGCAAGGTGAAAGGGCCAAGGTAAATGCAGCGATATGCAGTTGCAGACAGCTCCACAGCTTTCTGTGCCCACTGTTTGAAAGCTGGGGGTACCCAGTCAGGTCAAATGCCTCAGGCTTTGGCAAACCACAAAGGCTGACGCAGTCACCAGGAGCGTCGCAAGACCAATGGCAGCTTGCTTTAAGAAAGACCGGCTGCCAGACAAATTCTTATCTCCCTCCCACCACTGCCACAAACCCTGGTGCTACGCTTGATGCAAAAGGATGGTTTAAGCAGGCTGACCCCAGGTGAGCTGAGGGTGTGGGCTGAGCACCATGTTGGTGGCCACTGATCATGGACAGCATGGGACTGGCACAGCATGACTTACTGTGATCATAACAGAGTTCCAGGTGGAAGAGAAGACGTCCGTGTCATTGTTCCTCAGGTAATGCTTCTTCAGCTCCTTGGTGAAAAACTCTCTGGTCAGCTGAAATGCACAGACAATTAGAAATGCAAAGGTTACTGCTGAAACCTCTTTCCCAAGCACTTCCCAAAGCTCTCTCTCTTGTGAATGCTGAGGGTTGTTTGGTTGTTTTGGTTTTGTTCTTTTTTTGCAAACCTCAGAGGAGAAACATGGGGAAAGCCACTGGCTGAACCATAACTATATCCAGGGTGAATGGTACTTGTTCAATAAAACTGTTGCTCACCAAAAATCAGGGATTGAATTATAGCTGTACTTGTAAGCTAATGTTTGCATTTAAAGGTTGGTTGTTTTTTTTAAATATTCAGCGGTATTTCAAAGTATTTCATAAGTTGAAACAGGACTAAAACAGCTTTTAGAAATATCTTCAAATCCACACCCAAGTAGTAGCTTAACTTACTATGCTTCATGAGGTCTACAATCAAAGCATGATTTTCCCCTCACTTTTCATGTTAAACCAGTTAACTTCCTACTAATGACAGGGCAACTGCTCTGAATTTACTTCCATGTGTGAGAAGGCAGAATCAAGCTCTAATACCAAACTTTCTGGGGAATGAAAAGGAACTAAAAAACATGTAATGAATACGAAATGTTCAAGCCAACTTACAAATCAGAAAAAAAGACCATTTCCTTGACAATGCTTTAGATTATCTAAACTGACCCACACACATGAAGAAAAAAAATCCTCTTTATATTTCCAGTGCCTGGATAATTTAAACAATTTTTCCTAAGGTCAACAATAAAATGGAATGGAATTTCATTTACCCCTGTTTACATTTACAGTAAAATAGAAAAACTGAACCAACATTTCTGCTCAGTGTCTCCTCAAAAAGTTAGACACCTTGAAATTACATTTACTTAGGATCACTCTCTGGAGGAGTAGTAAATATACAGACTTAAAAGTCATCTTAAACCGAATTCTCCAATTCAATCTTTCCACCTTTCTAACACTTCAGGATGAAAACTTCACGGAATCCCCTTTTCAGGTTCCCTACAGGTCTTGACTTATGTGGTCCCTTCTCTAAAATACCTTGTGATTTGTGATCCACACAGGCAAAATCTCTCTGCCACTGCAAAGCCTCACTGAAGGGGGTTGGACTCGGCTGGATACAGCACTGCTCTAGTGTTGCATATTTGCAGGATCCAAAATTAAGCTGCCTGAAAAAGACCTCCCCTTTTTTTTTCTGTTGTTCATACAGCACTGCAGATGCAGTAACATATACTGTTACGAGTTGTTTTCAGGTTCTTGATATGCAACGTGAAATATCACACATACACATACATATGTATGAGATGTATGTGTGGGCACAAAAGCACAAGCACAAAATTGTTTGCTTCCTTTGTAATTCTATAACAAAATTTAAGGAAAAAAAGAGAAGGCTATGGTGAATCTTTAAAAGACCCCAAATACCATGTAATATTAACTCTCTTTTACAAATACAAACTAAGGCCAAATTTAATGTCTAAATCAATACTGGGTAAAACTTTGTCACAAAGGCTTGAATGATGTAGGTAGCTCAATCTCACTACCTTTTAATGAGATGTGCTGCTAAGTTCCTAAATCACTTTTATGAGACAAGAGATTAACTCATTTTTTGCTTCTGAATATTAAAATACCAGAGGATCAGAGAGGACTGGCATTTTCCTTTGGGAATCTGGCATACTGAGGGAAGGTCAGGTTAGAAGACGCTGAAACATGTCCTCAGTGCTCTCCTTTCATTCCCTTTCTCAGCGTACTTTATCCATGCAGCATCCTAACCTGCAGAGACAGCAGCACTTTTTTTTTGGTGCTTGTCTGTTTCTGAAGTGCGGACTTTGAAACTGATATTACCATTGGTAATAATTCCAGCCGACTGCCTTTGGCGGGGTCTAAAACAAAAGAGTCATTTAAATATAAAGTGAAACCTTTATTTTGACAGCAGCAACCCCAGAGGAAATTGTTCAGAGTTTGTGTGCGATTTTTACGAGACTTGGCCTAAAACAAAGCCTAGTGCTGGAAAGGTAAGTTTGCCAGGAAAATAACTGATTCCATTTTGTTGCTCTTAAACTACTTGTCCTGAGCATCTGAAGTTCAGAAAAATGTAAAAAAAAAAAAAAAAAAACCAAACAAACCCACAATCAAAAAAAACCCCCACAAACCATGGATCAGCAGAAGCATCTTTCCTCCTTTAAAAAAATTGCTGACAAAGGGGGATAAGAGTCAGCAAGACAGTCCTACTCACATGCCCACAGCCCCCCTCTCGCTGAAGCTAGTAATGGCACTGATAAGGTCTGTGCACACTGGAGTACTATGGGAAGAACTATTCAGGAGGAAGCAAAGGACCAAAGGACCTACTAATAAAATCAGATCTTCACACACACTTCTGACAACACAATTGTCTCAGCCACAGCCATGAACAATAAAGAGCTGTCAGCTGTATTTTCTTCTAGCTGTTTTGGGGAGAACATCTTCAATACAGAAGAAGCATATGCATGTGTACATTTACATGCCAGTGAATGAAGTGGGACTGTTTTGTCACACTGGTTCAAAAAATAGCTTGGCTGGGTTACTGCAGCCAGATGAAGGGGACTTACGAAAAAGAGGGCATTTCTGCACAACACGGGTGTGCTGGCACTGGCCCAGAAGGTCACAGCCTTCTCATGCAGTGCTGTGTTCACGAATACTGAATGCTGTGCAAGCAGCTGGCTTCATGGTGCCTGCTCGGAAAACAGGACACGCTCCTGTCTATCTGCATCTGCCTGGAGCATCCTAACATTTCTTGGCACAGTGCAGTGCTTGTGCTGCAGGTACAGTAACCAGTGCTGCACTTCTCACTTCCACAGTGCCTTCCATCCAAGAGACCTCCAGCTGCCCAACTGAGGGATGGGCAGTTCATGTTCTTTAGTTTTTGCCGCATGCCTGAGGAAACAGAGGTATCAGGAACCAAAGCAACTTGTCTATTAAGTGTCAGAACTGGGGCTAAAAATCCAAACATCCTAACTCTGCCCAGAGCCCTGTCACTGGACTCACCTGTTCCTACCATCCCGGTTTCTTTCTTGCTAAGACAATTCACTAAGAAAAAGTGTCAAATATCCCTCCAGGGTTTTTCCCATCCAGACCTCTGAATGGCATATAAAAAGCAATTCCTGCACATCAGTCAAATTGCTCTTTCACAGCCTCTCTCTATTGTTCATGGAAGATGTTATTTTATGGTGGGTCTTCTAGATGAAGAAGGGGTCTCCACCATCCAAAAACTCCTTTACAAAGGAAGAGAAACTCTGGTACTTCCATAGATGATTAACAACAGCCTTCCTCTTCAGAGACTGCTTTTAAACAGTTCTTTGGGAGTGCAACTGTATCACAGTAGCTCACCACTACAAATATAATTTTCACTAACACCACCACCACACTCTGCTTCACTGACTCTTCCTCTCATGTCAAACCTCAGCAGAAAACATCTCTTTTCTCCCTTATTTTTGTCTCTTAATTTCTTTCACTCCCTCAGCTATTAATAATTTAACTTTATTGAGTGTTTGGGAGCTAGTTTGGACGTAAAACACTGTACAAGAGAAAGCTGCACTGAACATTATCTGGAAAGTGAACAGATAGAGCGTATCTTTCTCTTTTGACTCATTTTATGCACCCAGTGAGGCCACAGCCATATGGACTGGTGCAATGACCATCACAGGAGCCCAGCTGGTAAGGTTCCAAGAAATTTAGGTCACCTAAATGTGCATTTACCACCACACACCTTGAAAGTAACTCGTTTCGCAGGGAAGAGAAAAACACATCTGAACCTGACCTTAAATTGCTACTGTGAAGAATTCTTCCCAACACAGGGTCACTGAAAGACCACCTCTGTCCCCACGGACATCCTGTCCAGCCATCTAGCCTCACCCTAACCCAAAGATGACAGCAAAATTAGCCACCAAGCCAGAGGAGCTACCACCAAAATACACAGCAACAGCAAAATAAGGTTTGTTTTTTTTTTTTCAGAAGAAACCTGAGGAGAGAACAAACCACAAGAATGTGCAGACTGAGTTTAACTACTGCACAGAGCCATCTCTAACTATGTTGGGATCTGACGTTCTTCATTCCTTCCCATTTAAGCCCTTCCTGTCAGTCATTCTGACAGAGTGGGAAGCTGGTGATACAAACAAGGAGACAAGCTCAAGAACGATAGAATTTTGTTCCCCTTCAAGTTTTATCTCATAAAACACCACCAGATGCCACAGAAGTCTAGAATAACCACTGTGACCTGATCTTGCAAGGTAACATATCCTCACACATCCCACGGCTTCCATGGGAGTGGAAGGTACCAATGCTTTGCCCAGAAGCAAGATGTAAGCAGGCTCCTCGTGACGGAGGGAAGAGGACCCAGCCAGCCCTGCAGTCACCCCCCACACAGGGCTCGCAGCGAGCCTGGCTAGTTTCTTGTACCTTTTACCAGTTTCCCACAGGGAAGGTGGGAGGTGGGAGCAGTCAGCTGCCGGCTGCTCGCCCAGCCCCTGCTCACCAGGAACTGCATTCTCTCTCTGTCATGAAGCCTATACTTGGGTCTGCAGGGCAGTTTCTACGTGTGCGGTCTGCTGCTTGTGCTGAACCAAAGGAATTCTCTAAAACCTCCTAACAGCAGAGCTGTAATGACCAGAACACACCAGACCCCCCATGTTGCAACCTATTTATGGAGCGGTAGCTGTTCCCACGAGGACATGGTCTCAAAGCCTAAGCTGGAATGGGGCACCCACTCTGCGTACAGAGTTCTGTCCCTTCCCCACTGCCTTCAGATCTGAGGCAAAGACAAAAGACCACCAGCTTGTAAAGGGAAAAAAAATCCTCTCACTACCTCCCCCCCAAAGACCATCCTACTGCACAAACACCACGCTGTCTTGCTGTGAGCTTCCTAAGTCTTGGTTCTTTGCTTATCAAAAACTTTTTATATGAATAAAATTAAAAGTACGTCCTGGCTCAAGAAAATCACCATTATACATGGCCCGTCTATGCTCATGCCACATTTCTGTCACATTCAGTACAGGGAACGTGCTCTATGTTCTTTTACTACTGGCAGAGGCCAAATAAACAAACAAACAAAAAAACCTAACAGTCCCTAGTGACCACCTCTACTGACCAATGTTTTTTAACAGCCATCACTCAGAGTCATATTTCAAAGATGACTTGAGAAGGATGGGCCTAGTTCAGTGAGGCTCTTCTTTGCTCATGTGGGAACATGAAAAAAATGCACAAACCTTCGCTGGTTAGAGAAACAAATGAGACTGTGCTTACTCCTAGTGTAGTAAAACCTTACTACTGGCATAGCAGAGGGATGATGGCCATATAATAATATGCATAGCAGTGGAGTAGAGAAAGGCTACATCATATGAAACTGTGGAGAGAAGGACCAGAAATTTGTAAGCAGGGCCATATGCAAGGGATCCATTGATGGGACTGAAAATGGGACATGGGGAGACTTGCTCAGGGCAGGGCAGGAGGGATATCTTACAAGCAGCATTGAGAGGAATCTGGTGAGCACCAGAACATGAAAATTCAAGAAGGAATATGATTAGAAGATGCACAAGAGAGTTTTTGCACTGCAGAGCAAGCATTAGCTCTGTTGGGAAAACAGGCGGTTTCACTATTAATATTAATATTAAACACATGCTGTATTGAAAAAAGAAGAGAGTTGCTTTTAACCTTAGTATGACTTTATTATAAAACTTCTCTCTGATGGAATGTGCAGCTGGTTTGGCTGTAAAAGAATCAGGAAGACTCTAAAAACTTCAGGATTTAACTAGTCCCCCAGTGTATATCTCCTGTGTACATAAACCAACCACCCTGCACACGCGAGGTTAGTTAGCATTCACTGGTTTGCTGGTAGTTCTGCAGACTGAGGGTAGTAATGAAGCAGGTTCATCGGTATTTGAAACAAACAGTCAGTCTACAAAGGAATCAGCCACCATCGAACACCATGTTCCAGCTGGGTACAATCCCACCGGGGTTCAGAGTTTGCCCACCATCGGATACTTACATTTTCTCTGAAGATAAAAGCCAGGATTGCAGCTGAAAGCTCCGCCAGGAAGATTAACAAAATAAACATGAAGAACTGGAAGAGAGAAGATGAAAAAAAAAAAAAAAACAAAAAACACAGACATACCATTAGGTGCGTGCAATAGGTAGTAGGAACACATGGTTTTGCTAGTCACCAAAGAGACAGAAAAAATAACCGAGGAAACTTTTTTTCCCCCTGACAATTAAAAAAAACCTATGAGACCGTACCCTGAAGCAGCACAGCCACTCTCTGACCATGTCACAGGACATGGGAGCTTGTGATGCTTTTGCCAGGTTCTAATGGGTAAAAAGGAATAAGGCTACAGGACTTGCAGCAACCCCTGATAAATCTGCACCAGGTTAAAACAGTAAAGCCTACTTTGATGGAAAAGGTTATATGAGTGTATAGATGCTCGTACAGGGTTAAACTGTCCTGACACAGGTGTATGCATCACATACATACACCTACATATGCACACACCCCTCACCACAACATAAACAACATAAACAATGTACTGAAATATGATCATGGTTCATTTTATATAGAAGGAGGTAGTGGGACATATACTCAAATATTTATACCTATGACCACAAATGGACTCTTTTCAGAGTATTTTGCATTTCAGGACAAAATTAGCCTTGGTTAATATCCCCATTCACACAATGGGGTTGCACTGAGTTAAGTATTAACCATGCAGAAACTCTACAGAAAGTTGGCAACACACCATCATAATTCTAATTTCATTATGCAAGTATCATCCATGTCTTGTATAGTATCCAAAGTGTGCATATTCATATCCTTAAATTAAGGGCACACTGCAGACTTGACAGAAAGCAATAGCCAGCAGATTGAGCGGTAGCAAAAGAGAAACAGGCATCCAGTTTGAAGTAAAACCATTACATTTATGTCATCATAATTCTAGGGAAGAGAAATGAAAGCAAACAGAGAGGCACATGGTTGTTCAATTTAAGCTGGAACTGTATTTTCATCTTGTTGCCCTTGCAACCTTCTGCTGCTTCAGTCTAAAAGTCTGGTATTCAGTCTTACTAAAGGCATCTTGTTTCTGTGACATTACCAAGCCTGAGCGATTCACCATGCCTTCACCACCCACCCCACAGAAGTAAATCAGATGCACATAAGAGGTCTCATCCCCAGAGAGACTGACATCTTGCTGCGAGGGTGCTGTCCCCAGGACCTTATCCATCCGGATCGCTCAGGTACTGTGGAGCGTTTCCAGCCCAGGATGAGCACCGGGATGAGCGCCGGGACTCCTGAGGACTCCCACCTCAGACCCTCCTGCCTGGAGGCAGCACAGAAAACTGGTACACAGCTAGAAGCAAAACTCAAGTAGAGAGGAAAAGAGTGTTGAAGGGAACAAATCTCCCAGGGCAGCAAAGCACTCACTGGCATCGAAGAGCTCAGGACTCAGCCTGTCTTTGGGACTGATTCTCAGTTACATTCATGCCTCATGCTAGTTTGATGCTGCTTCAGTCCATAACAAACAGTAAAAGCAACAGGCAGGGATGTGACCTCTAACATCCTTAAAACAACAGATGTTGGTGCTGAGGAACTCCTATGGGAACAGAGCAGAAAGCGGCTAGGCTCACATCCTCTCCCAAAATAGCATTTATTTCCATTCTTGGAGACCAAATAGTGGGCTTGAGGAACCGTAAGTCTGAACTAGATAGACCTTTTTTTATGTTCTTATAGCCATAAAGAGAAATCACCATTTGAGAGTCAGCCCTTCTAAAATTCAAGGATCCCAAGAATTAGCCCACAGACTCAAAGATGATTTTACAAAACTGAGTGAACATTTAGAAATGAACTCAGACTTTGACACCATGTGAGAAAAACAGAAGTGAACAGAGAACGCAGTAAGACCGCATCACATGGAGGGTAATAAACATGTGGTACATGTTACCAACAAAGGTGGCTGAAGCAACAAGTAGAAATAAACACAAGAGAAGTCTGGATGGGTTTTTTTGTGTAAGAAGGTTATTGAAGGTCTTTCTGAAACAGAAGGCAGGCAGATGGGGCCAGAAGTACTATTGTGATCCCGAAGCAATGATTTATAAACAGTGTCTGAAATGCCATTTTCAGTAATGGAGAGAGAATTCAAACTACCTGCTTGGAATGGGCAAAATGTTGTTTTGTTGTCAATTATCAGAGCTGTAAGTGATTTTTCCCCACTGGAAAAGTGCATGCACCACCCTGTCCCATTTGTCTTCCTGCTTCTGCAGTGGAAACAAAAGAAAAGGAGCCTGGGCTCAAATGACAAAACAAGAAGAGTCAGAGGAGCAGGGACTTCAGATGCTAACAGAATGCTGTTGCTTGATTTTGCTGAACTAGTTAACTCTATAATTTATTCTTACTGCTGGAGTTTTCTACGTGGCTTCTTTTTTTCCTGCTCAGAGGCTGTTTTGTTTTTAATTTCACCACAGGAGGGCAAAGAACAAGTGATGAGAATGAACGATGCTTCGCAAATTCACATCATCATCCATCAAGGGACCTCAGCATAGTCACTAAGAGGTCTAAGGTGGTGATCAAGTGATTAATCCCATCACCCTGCTAATTGCATTTCATTTACTGATTACTGGGAGACACATGTTCACCCAACCTCCAGCACAGGTCTGTGCAGAATTGGAAGCAGCCATTCCCAGATTATCTCTGATAAGCTTCATTATCATTCCCAAACTGATTTACACTTACATTGTGCAGTCTGCATTACAGCTTTGTAACAGTTACTGTAGAAAAAACACGAGCAGCCATTAGGGCTGATGAGAAAAAGAAGATGGATCATCAGTGTTTCAGAACTTGCTCTCAATCTGCATTTTAAAGAGAGTCAAAATCTGCTTATTATGTTTTGCCTCCCAAAATTAAATTGATTACCGATACATGAGAGCACTAAACAGCCAACTGGTTAATGCATGGGACACAGCAGCCTCACATTCAAATTCATGCTTGAGACCCAACACTTGAACACTGGTACCCCCCGCATCCAAGGTGAACGTCCTGAGGAGTGGGGTCTCACATGTTGGTCAAAAATCCTGCCTCAGCTCCTGGTGATGGTTACAGGTTTATCGGATGTTTCCACAAATCAATGTTTAGTGTTTCTTTTCCACAACTCATGTATTGTTACAGTTTCAGCAATGCTGTTCCAAAAAGAGCAGCAACTGCCTTTAACCCAAAGGACCCACATTTTCGTGCTGAAAAGTATCAGGGGCTACTGCATCCATTTTACAAGACTGCAAAACAGGACACCTGCACTCAAAACTAAGCCAAATGAAGCTAACATGGACTGTTCTTGTTGCAAAGCTGAATTCAGTCCCGTGGTACAATGTTTGTGTGCTCAACGGCACTTTGGATTCTGATTTTTATGGTGTTCTTTTGCAGTTAGAGGGTCTTTAGGACAATCCAGAAGTTATTCAATGTCTGATTTGCAGGCCAATGTTTGTTGCTTTTTGTGAGCCAAGTCCAAATGCTGGGAAATCTAGAAACACTTCACAGCTTTGTGCTTAATGCAACATGTTAGGTTCCACAGTGATGTTTTTTTACTAAAAGACAAGCAGCTTAATGAAAAATAAAAGTCCTTGCAAACACAGAAGCCAGAACCTAGAGAACATGCATTTGTGCATGTCTTGTTCCTTCTATCTTCTGTTTACATTTGGACTAAAAGCTTCAGATATACATTATGCATCACTGTGAAATCTCACTCAAGCAGCTCTCTGGCTCATCAATTCTTTAACAACTTTGTAAGTGGACTTGATTTGATCTAGCAACTTCTCCCCAAGTACCACCCCCCATGAAGCCTAACACTCTCCATTTTGCAAGGTGTTCCCAGTCTCTCTGGCATACGTCCATGACTGGTTTGTCTTTTCAGCGCCTAAAATTTACTCCCATCAGACTTGTATTTTTACAGTTGTTTTATGCATTTTAACATCAGCTGGTGTGGCCCCCAAAAAAGCAGAAATTAGCAACATATCTCTTCCCACTTGGTATCAGCACAGATCCTCATCCAAGTGCTTCACTGCTGTTGGACATGAGATGGCAGGTTGTTTAACAGAGTTGACTTTGACACCAGAGGCCCTGGAAGACCTGATCAAAGTGGAACACTAATTCCTCATCCAGTAATTACTTTCAGAGTTTCTCCTAGTCTAGGGCATTGCTTCCAGCCCATAAATTTCTCACAATCCAAGTACAAAATAAAATAATAATAAAAGTAAATAAATAAAGCAGCAGGGCTCAGAACTATCTCTAAGAGTCAGAAAAGTAATAACCACAAAATTGAGTGCACTGGAGTATAACCAAAACCCCAGGAGAAACATTCAAACCATGATGTAACTCTCTGATGTTAAATCAGGAAAGAGCATGACACAGAGCTCCCTTCCTTCAGCTAGGTCCCCAATCTGTACGCAGCAGACATGGTCCAAACTGAAAATATTACTCTCCCATTCACTTACAATCAATACTCCTCATCAAACATAACTTTTAGTTTCTTAATCTAACAGGCACAGGCTTTGAAGTAACCTCAGGCTCATCGGGCCTGATCCTTTGCATTTTATTAGGTTCCTCTGGGCAAATCTCCATGACTTCGCAGGTGATACATTTGTTTTTCTGATTTACTTTTGAGATGAGTCACTAGAAATCAAACCCACAATGGCTTCCAGAAAAGGGCTCTCATATGTAGGTTATGAATTCAAGGAGTGGGTGAGTCAAATGCCAGAGAGAATTTCCCTCAGTGAAGCCACGCTCATCTCTAGGAAAAAATGTTTTTTCATTCAAGAAAGAGGACTTTCCTGTTCTGTTTAGAGACAAGCCTCTTTTGCACCATGAAGAAGCTGTGCAAGATACAATCATAACAAAACACGGTATGATCAAGATTTAAAAAAAAACAAAACAAAAAAACCAAAGCCTCAACAGACCCAGAGCGACAAACAAAAGATCATGTTTGACAAAAATGAAAAATAAAACTAACTATCTTTGTCTTTCCATACATAACTGGTAATGCCTTCTAGTAAGAGATAATGGCTAGAAACCCTGCAGTACCAGAACTTATGGCAGAGGTCAAAAGTGACCTATTTTAGAGGCTAGCTCTTTGTAAATAGTACTTGATAACCACATGGGCTGAAATTTAACCCTATCATTCAGGGGAAAATGTGCGCAAAGATAACAAATCTGGTTCATTTTAGGAGCAGAGTAGGCTGCATAAGGGAGTGACCAGCTGTTGAGAGCTGCAATGATAGGCCACCATGCAGTTCTGAGCTAGGCATTTCTGCTGACATGGGAGGCTCTGTTAGGGCTTTGCTCCGCGTGCTCCCTCTGCTTTGTTGTGAAGCACTGGGGAGCGAATCCACAAGTGGAACAGTGGGTTTTGGGTGGCCAAGAGAGGACCATTTCTAGTCACTTTATAAAAGTAAAAAAAACCCCAAACAAACAAATAGGACCATTCTGAAACAAAGCTTAACAAGGTCAACATACACTCCCAGACTCCATACCCACTGGGCTCAAATCTAGTATAGGGAAAAAGCAAATTCTTTGTATTTCTAGCTGTGTGTAAAAGTACCCTAAGCCTATTTATTATCAGACACTCATTCATGCACTTACCACAGCATCATCTATCCAGTCACCCCCATTCTTGGGAAGCACCAAAAGGCCAACAGAAAATGCAAGAACACTTACAAAAAGCAGGAGGCATTTATTCTCACGGATGGCACCACAGCAGCCGAGAAAACCCAGCAGAAAGAGCATCGCTCCCATAGCCAGCATGATGTACGCTCCTGTGAAGAGCAGAGGGTTGGCAGCCACTATCTCTCGAAAACCTGTGGGATCCACAATGACCCAGATCCCGACTCCCAGCAGGCACGCTCCTCCCAGCTGTCATGGCACAAGGAGAGGAGAGAGAGGCAGATAGGTCAACATAAAACAACTGCTGCAGAAAAAATTGATTCGTTGCTATTTTTTGATTAAAGGTGTTAATTTGGAGAATTTGTGTTTCTCTGTGGCATATATTCTCCGCTGAGCAGGTGACTGCTGACATGCTACTCCTAGTATCTCTTGCTCACTAAATGAACCATTTGCAGCAAAAGCACCTTTCTTCCTTGACACTTCATTCTACCAACTGTTTACTCCCTCCCTAATGCTGAAAGACCGAGTCTCGAGCTGCTGCCACAGCGGTAGGGAACAGCCCAGTGAAGGGGCACACGTGAACCATCCCCACCACAGAGGCCAGGGTGGCTGGGCACTCCCACCCTTCCTGTCAAAGACAAGAGCAACAGGATCACCAAGAATGACCCTACATGTGGTAGGAAAATGACTGTTTCCTAATGAAAACCTCAGCAGGGCACCCAGGACTGGAAAACAATTTCTTCTACCATTCAAAGACAGACCATGTACACTACTAGTTACAGCTTTCCCTCTGGTCTCCCTTACCAAGGACAGGAATAACTCAGACAACAGTGACCACTGCGCTGGCTTGCTGAATATTTGAGCATCTTCGGATGCTGCAAAACCCTCAGTGATTGCTAGAGCAAAGCTGAAGGGATATTCTGTACCGTGGCAACTTTGCCAAATTACAGCCTATCCTGCTGGGGAGCAGCAGGCTGCTGGAAACAGGAGGATTCAGGAGAGAAAGTGAATTCTAAATACTTACAAATATAAAGAAATTGAAAAGAAACATCAGGTACTTCATGCAGCTCAGACAGTCTCCCTCCATGGTCTTCAGGCTCCTTGATCCAATTCTTCCTGCAAAACACCAGCACTTCCTTAGCACACTCATTTTTTATTGGAGTGACACTGTCCTATCTCCATTTGTATTTCCCCCAAGATCCTGTGGAGTTCATTATACAGAAGACTTCATTTCTTACCTGAACAAGACAACATAGCACAGGCTAGCATGAGACAATGATCGCTGCTAAGTCTCTTTGCATTCTTCCAAGTCTAAAGGTGAACGCAGATGCAAAGAGGAAGGTTGCAGGAGAGGAAAGCTCTAGCTTTCCTTGCAGAGTGAGATGCTGGGGGAAAAAATATCCCTCTGCCCATTAAGATATTTTTTTTTCCAGTCCCTAAAGCCTGTCAAGTCTAAGCAGCACTGAATGTACCTGTCTACTTCACACCAAAAAGGTCATATCGACACAGGAGCCAGAAGAAGCTGTGCCCATTTGAAAGACTTACAAGCAAGCAAGCATTTGGGACAGTTAACTCCATACAAGCTTCCTCTACAGAATGAATGCCACACAAACATGGACAACATTGTCAGGGAAACTTGTAGACATTTGGAGGAGCTGGGCTGGGAATGATTGCAGTGTGTGGACATGGGAGGGCCTGAGGAGGCTGTCCTCACACAGTTACTCAGCCTGGGGCACACCACCTGCTTGTCACGCAGTGTGAAATGTTACTGTGCCAGCGAAGTCCTGGTGCTCTACACCCCACCCTGCAACAGGTCTTTTGCAGGCAGAGCCCATGGATCAATGTTGGTAAGCTTTTAAGAGCAGGAAAAAATGCTAAGGAATCTTGACCAGTTTTGAAACTCCATGTCCAAATTAGACAACAAACTGCTTCGGACTGTATTTCTATTGGAGGAAAAGCTATAAATCCTGACCAGGTGAGGCTACGTTGGAAGAAAGTTTCTGCTTGCTGGTTAATGAAGTGACTGTGTCTCCCAATATGCAATTATATCACCAAGTACCCTAGAGGGACAGACAAATAAATACATAAAATAGTAAAACTTTCACTGAAACAGAAGGTAATGCAGTCATGGCACCATGCACAGATGGATGCATACATATGCAAACACAGAGGCACAAGTTTGCTTAGCTCCACGGAGAAACCTTCCCGAAGCCCACATGCTTCTT